ACGCATCAACACCCTGCAGTCTAGCTGCAGCTACAGCTGTAGTGGCTACATCAACAATAGCCTTAGAAAGAGTAGCGTATATCTCATCGAATGTCTCTATCAGGGTGGTCTTAATAGACCCAAACATCTCTGGAATCTCGTCGCGGATGGCAACAGCCACCTTATCATGAATCATCTGGCAGAGCTCCTCGTCGCTAACACCCCCTCCACTGGTCCCTTGTATGTGATGTGTTCCTACCATGATGCATCTCTGAAATATAACACAAGATATCAATAATTTGCTTGGACGTACACACACTCGATATCCCAACCCTACTTGATCTTTGGTACCCTAAGGATTCTTACTTGGGTTGCGCACTGACCCGTTGCCTTCGATAGTACATGCCCAATACTACCGACCACACTGACTCAACATTCACACCAAGTCCTCCTCCCAGAGCCCCAAATCCCAAGTACCCTATTCTCTCTAATCATGTGCCACTCACTAGCAAATCTCTCATAAGCTCTTTGCTGCTATCTCAACACTCTCAAGCATTCCTAATAGCAAAATCCCTAGACTAAGGCATCATATATCAGGCCACTCTAGTCCTAATAAGAATACCTAGTCTTACTCTAGCATGCATAATATAATTCATCATATAGCATAGCATAACATTTCTTTTACAATTTATTGTCAGGGTATTTTGGAAAATCACCGTTCGGGCGCTGGCTGATCGTACACACGGCTCTGCTCTGTTTGTTTCAAAACTCTTTTTACTCCTTTTAAAAAAAGAATTTACTTTATTATCAATTTTTTTCCTCAAATCCTCAGTTTTAAGTTCAGATACGCCCGAAAATGCATCCGAATCCCTCAAACCAAGGCTCTGATACCAAATTGTAACACCGTAAAATTTAAAATATATTTTTTTTCATTTTAAACACACTTTTACAAACACATTTATTGACAAAACCCCATTGTATCATACTTTGTTTCGCAAATATTTCCCAAGATCAAAATACATAAAAACCCATGCGTGTGTACGAATCATGTCGGCGCCTTCCCGCAATCATCACTGGTACCTGAAACACATAACACATAACACTGTATGCATAAAGCTTAATGAGTTCCCCAAAATACCATACATACACATACTAGCCACTCAAGGCCATAACTCTGTGGGCCCGTGAGCCCTAGCTCTATGGACCCTCTGGTCCTAACTTTGTGAACCTTCCGGTTCTAACTATGATATACTCTGATATAGACATGACAAGTCAAACATCGATACACGTTCAAAGCGATTAAATCAAAAACTATAAAATAAAATAACTAAAAATTTATATTACGTGTTATCTAAATAAAAAAAACAATCACTTATATACATTCATTGTGATTAAGTGAAAAACAGTAAATAAAAAAAGACAATTTAAAAAAAAAAAAAAATACATTCTTAAAATATCACGAAGTGAAGAAGAACCAAAACTTAACTTACCTAGAAGTTTTGATTATAAATTAAAAAAAAAATCCTTCAATACAACTATAAATTCAAAACAATCTTTGATTAGGATTAACGGTGTGAGAAACCTCCGATTAGGATTATGAGTGTGAAGATTAAACTAATTGTGAATAATGTTTACAAATTATAGAATTAGCCGATTAGGAATTACAACATTAATCAATAATCTCACTCAACACATGATGGAAAAATTGTGTGTGTCTGCATGATCTGCGTGATCATCCTTTGATGGGTTGATCGCATGTTTATCTCCTGATAAGTAAGGATTAATGAATTATATTTTGAAATTTTAATGGGTCTTAAATATGTTTGACTATATTATTAATATATAATCCATAATTTTTATGTATTAAAATAAAAAGTTAGCGGTTCGGTTAACCTACAAAACCATAACCGAACCGTTTGTTATCGTTTAACAAAAATTAGAAACCAAACCAACGGTTTTTAAAATAGTTCGGTTATTATGGTTCAGTTATATTGGTTAATTTGGTTATGGTTCGGTTTTCCGGTTATTATGCTCACCCCTAAAAATAAGCATTCATTCATCTAAGCTCATGATCAAACATAAATAAACACAAAAAGATGTTTAACTACAAAACATTTTCATAAACTTCAAACACAAGATAATAATTAGTCTTCAAAGCAACTAATCATCCATGGGTTAAACCCTAATCAACCAAATAAGAATTTAGCCAAGCATGGCCAAAACAAAAGAAATACAAAGTAGTTTAGTGGTACCAAACATTGTTCTAGATGTAAGATGGAAAGAAATTACATCAATCTTCTAAATCATCCAATTCTTCCAAGGCCTTCTTGAGAGAAAAATGGGGTTCTTCTTCAAAGTGCTCATGATGCAAAAATGCTCCAAATCTCCAGTTAAAAGGGGTCATTTCAGATTCAAAAAGTTGCCAAAAGCCACCCACCAACCTTCCACAAATAGAGTCAACAAGTCAAAACCCGGATTCAACTCACCACTCTTCATGCGAACCGCGTATGGATCCACGCGAACCGCGTGGGTCACGCTGAAATCATTCCTTGGCCCATTACAAATATCATCCAGCCCAATCTTCTAATTTATGCTCCAAAGTTCTTGATAGTCTAACTATGCTATTCCAAAGCTCTTCCAAGATGCTCCAATGTTCCATTAATCTTTTATAGCTCGAATTCTCATCGTCCCGCCCAAAATTTAAGTTTAACGTGCTTTCTTGTTTATGTTGAGACCAAGCCTAATTGCACAACTTCAGGTCCATGAACAAATTACAAGCCTCCAACAGTCCCGTACTCTTCAATCCCTCCAATAACAAAAATTCTTCGATAAATCCTACAAATAAGCTCATAAGACTGGAAAGCACCCGGTAAAGGAGAAAAAATAACAAAAACAGAAAATATGCATGAAGATTAACTAAATGAGATGGCTTTAACTAAAAATAAACTATGGAAAGAAGTAATAAAAACGAAACTATCAAATTACCCCAAGCTTGAACCTTACTTGTCCTCCAGTAAGACAAGACTAAAATGAACTTGGGATGAACTATCCTACAAAGAAAAAAAGAATGAACATCTTAGGTGGAATTTCGTGAAACGCCCTTAAAGTAAAGACATATGATCCATTTTAGATATATAATAACTTAAGATACAAAGAGGAAAGCACTAAAAAATATAATTACATTCGCATTTTATGATTGCGATAATATCCGACTTTTCAAAACCAGTTTTCAAATTTCACGAAAGATCAAAATTTGACTTCTCCAAACAAGTTGGTTACATACTAAATTTTCATGTACACAAACTAATTACTAGACTTTATTGAAAATTTTGGGTGAATTGATGCAAAAAAAATTTCAATGACACTTTTATTTTTAACAATTTACTTATGACTCACTAAACAAAACAATACTGGAAAAAGGGGGTAGTTGTCTCCTTTTTTTAGGCTCACTTTTTTGGTTTACCACAGGAGTTTTACAAGTATAGCCTGAAAATAAAAATACAAAACTATATGCAACTATAAGCAGAATCTAAGTCTAACCCAAACAAGAGGCCAAACGAGCACAAGGACACTAAGGCTAATTTAAGATCGAGTGGAAAAAATGTGTCTAAATCATAAAGTAATGAGATATGATGTAAATTGTAGCAGTTAGAAACTAAAGATCTCAAAATAGCACAACCTAGTTTTTATTCCTTTCTTTGGGGTTTGTCCCCCTACTTATGCCACACTCGACATATGTCGGTTCATATGCATAACTACTTGCACTCTCTCTCCACGTATATATAAGAGAAGAAGCAACAACGGAAAGTCCCTAAGAGCGATTCTTTTTTGTTATGTGAGTTTCCAAGAGAATTGTATTTAAGGTGTGTTGTGTCTTTCAAGTAAAGATGTTTGGAGATGAGAATAAGGAGATAATAAAAATTCATTAATGCTAAAAAAAAGTGAAAAAGAAGAAAATAAAATCTTTTTGGAGTTTTATAAAAAAAATAAATGCAATTTAAGGCTAAAATGTTATGCAACCTAATTAAAATACATGATAAATCAGAAAGAAAAGGGAATACCCCATCCCAAGCTTAGAATTAAGCATTGTCCTCAATGATCGGGGTGAGACAAAAGTACCTAAACCGGGGGATCTGGAGGAGGGTATAGGTATTGGGGGTAAGGGTAGGGGTAAGGTAGACATGGATAAGGGTGGTTGGGTGGATGGTATGGATAAGGAGGAGGAAGTGGGATGTTCTCGAAATGGTTTTGTGATTGGTGCCACCCCCACATATGGCGCATCTGCTGAGATATGATTTGGTTGGAGACACAAACAGTCTCAAACCGTTCGACAAAATTGGAGGGAAGTGGGTAGTATCTGGGAGGTGCTTGGGATTGGGCTTGCTTTAGACCATGGGTGGGCTCATCACCAGACTCCTCATCTGCATGCATCTCGACATCATCTTGATCCTGGATCACATCCTAATTGAATGAGTGAGTGATGGTCATCGCGAGTCTCCATTGAGTACGATCGTGAGGGGTGAAGTTGGTAACTTGAGGGTCAGGGAGAACAAGATATCCAACCCCCTTAGGACAATACCATTTAAAACTGTTCCTGTTCCGGTGACGGATGTGGTGCATGTTTGTGAGAGCAAACTCATCCAAAAGAGTTTTATTATCAACAGGTTGGTATTCGTCTAGGAGCTCGATGTCAAGATCGTGGGCTAAATGGGTTACAAATCCACCGATGCAAAAATCATCGGACGCTTTGGTTCTCATAAGTGCGCATTTATAGAAAAAGAACGAAGTAAAGTCCAAGATTAGTGAGTTTTCACGTCGTGTCATGCACCAAATGAAGAAGAGCTCATTTTTGGTGACCTGGCCGGCTTCTTTACGAGAAAAAACAGTGCACACCAAGATAAGATGGGTAATACGGAGGTACGGGTGAATGATGCAGGTTGCTTTATCACGACCGACACACAAAGATACCCCCGGTGATTTCCGTGCAAAAGGTCTCGTGGTTGAAGTCGACAGAAAAGATGTCAAAAACCGTGGATGTGTTCGACGAAGGCCAGCCCAATATGTCGTTTATTGTTGCAAAACCAATATACCTTCGGTCCCCCAGAAGTTGGAATGCGGCTTTTTTTCTTTTCTTTATCTAAACCGCAATCGGCAAGAAACTCTCTAGTAGGAAGCTCATGTGTGTGTGCCATGAGATTGAGAAGGGTTTCCCTCCCGATGTTACGAAACAATTGGGTGAACCCTTCAAGAACGCCTAATGAGATGAGTGTGGGTTTGCACATAAATTTGGTGGAGGAAACGTTTCTAGGCAAGCTCTTCATGTAATTTTTGGCCGCCTTGGCATCCTGAAATGTTGGAATGTCGGGTGCATCATTTTGATTTCTAGCAGGGGCTTTTCCTCGATCGGCAGCCGTGCGTTTTCTAGATCTGGACATGATCTACCTGCATGAAAAATAACCACTACACGAACCACAAACCCTATAAATGGTATTTCAATTCCAATCACCAATCGACTCCGTATGGACTTTTAAAATGCTTCAACACTCAATGCACAAAACATTATCAACAATCAATTGACACGATGCCATATAAATTTTTGTTCTAAAACATGCATATTGGTCAACTAAAGTTAAGGAAAGAATGTACCCATGAGATTTTTTTTCGTGCGAAAATTTGGGATTTGAAAATCTTGTAACTCTCCACCCCAAGCTTTAAGCTTTGTTCAATATCTCGTGAGAAAAACTTTACCACGAAAACCCGAGAAATCCAGAAACGGCTTGATATTCCAGCGAAATTTTCTAGTGAGCTTTGAGAGATATTTTTCAGTGGGGTTTATAGCCTTGACCAAGATGAGCACAATGGTGGTGTCAGAATCGCGAGAGGTGGCCGGAGTTGGCCGGAAAATGGCCGGAAAGTGGCGAGATGGTGGTGGTGGCGCCCAGAATCGCAGCAACGGATCGGACCAGATTTTGGGTGGTGTTTGTAGAGCTCGAAAAATGGTGAAGAATGGCAATGGTTTCACGAAATTCTGACAGACAGTTTGACAGGAAATCAAGTTTTAGTGGTGGAGATGGAGGTGTTTTAATAGTGTTTATGGAAGAGATGTAGAATAAGAAGGGAAGAAGAGGGCGGACTGATGGTTTTATTAGGCTTAATGTTGTGGTCAAATGTACTCAAAATCAGGTCAACGGAAGTCAACAACTCACGTGGATGCGGCCATGAGAACATGCGGTCCGCGTGAATATGCCTGGAACAATCTGTTTGCTTTCATCACACACGGTCGACTCAGAGGGTATGCACGGTTCGTTTTAATAACAAACGCGAACGGACTTGGGACTACACGCGATCCCTATGAAATTCTCTGTAATCCTCCTGAATTTGATGTTGTACGTGGACAGTTTGGGGACCATACGCGGACCATTTGTTTATTAACGCGGACATACCCCTGAGTCCGCATGTAGCATGTTGAAATTTTCTCAATTTTTGTCCTTTGACCAAAACGAACATCGGGCCTTAAAATCCAACACTCTTGAACTGCAATAAAGAAGAAGGAGAAATGTTAAATGCAAAAAAAAGATCTATCTAAGACATTTGTTCGGAATTAGAAAAGATGAAAACTTTAAGTTTTCCAAAAATACCCTTCTTTAACATCTTTGGCGAGACATCCTTCCCTTTTGATTTCAGTTTACTGGAGCATCCAATTGGATGACATCTAGGACATTTGCGTTAAAACCTTCATAGAAAGGTTTCAAACAATGCCCATTGAATTTAAAATTTTTCCCTGTTTCTTCGCTTTGGATCTCAACCACTCCGTGCTCAAAGATTTTTAGCACAACAAATGGACCTATCCATCTTGACCTCAACTTTCCGGGAAATAATTTCAATCTCGAGTGGTAAAGCAAAACCCTATGTCCCGACTCAAAATGCTTGCGTGAAATGGACTTGTTGTGGAAAATCTTTGTTTTCTCCTTGTAAATTCTTGAGTTTTCATAGGATTCAGTTCTGAATTCCTCCAACTCTTGAAGTTGAAGCTTCCTAAGCCTTCCTACCTCATCAATGTTGAAGTTGCATTAATTAACCGCCTAAAATGAACGGTGTTCCAATTCCATGGGAAGATGACATGTTTTTCCAAAAATGAACCTAAATGGAGACATTCCTGTTAGGGTCTTGTACGCGGTCCAATAGGTCCACAAGGCATCATCCAACCTCGAACTCCAATATTTACTTGAAGGATTCACCGTTTTCTCAAGAATACTCTGAACCTCACGATTTGAAACTTCCGCTTGACCGTTTGTTTGAGGATGGTAGGCGGTAGAGACACTATGAGTCACATTGTACTTTTTCAGCAAGGCCTCCATCATTTTATTGCAAAAATTCATCCCTCGATCGCTAATCAAAGCCCTAGGCACACCAAATCTTACAAATACATTAGATTTAAAAAAGTCGATAACCGTTTTGGCATCTTCCGATCATGTGGCTTTGGCTTCAACCCATTTAGAAACATAGTCAACTGCAAGTAAGATATAAATGTTGTCAAACGAGATGGGAAACTGGCCCATGAAATCAATCCCCCATACATCAAAATTTTCACAAACAACGATTGGATTTTGTGGCATTTGGTTATTTTGCGAAATGTTCCCCGTCCTTTGGCACCGTTCACAACTTTTACAAAACATATAACAATTGCGTGACATGGTTGGCCAAAATAGTCCACACTAAAGGACATTTATCAAGGTCCAGCTAGGTCCGAAGTGTCCCCCACAAGCAAATTCTTGACAAAACTGCAAAATAGATTGATGCTCTTGTTGGAGGTACACATCACCTAATGATTTGATCGGGACAATGTTTCCACAAGTAAGGTTCATCCCATACATAGTATTTTGCATAACTTTTGAGCTTGTCTTTTTTAGCATGTGAGAATGTGTCGGGATACCTTTTTGTGACCAAAAAGTTAACGATATCGGCATACAAAGGAGTAGACTGAGTAAGGGAAAAGAGATGCTCATCCGGAAACTCGTCCCGCAACGGGAGAGGAGTCTCAATTGAAGTGATCCGGCTTAGGTGATCAGCAACAAGATTCTCGCGTCCACTATTGTTCTGGATTTCCAACTCAAATTCTTATAATAGTAAAATCCATCAGATGAGTCTTGGCTTTTCTTCTTTCTTTGTCATTAAGTACTTGATTGCTGCGTGATCCGAATACACATTAAATTTGGTGCCAAGTAGATATTGCCTAAACTTCTCTAATGCGAACACTATGGCTAATAGCTCATTCTCTGTGGTAGAGTAGTTGCTTTAACCATTGTCTAGTGTTCTCGATGCATAGAAGATTACATGGGAGGCTCTTCCATTCTTTTGACCAAAAACGTCGCCTATTGCATAGTTGCTTGGATCACACATGATCTCCAAAGGGAGATCGTAATTTGGTGCTTGCATGATGGGAGTGGATGTAAGCAAATCTTTAAGCTTGTGGAAAGCTTTTTTGCACGCCTCATTGAACTCGAAATCAACATCATTTTGCAAGAGTTGGCACATTGGTCTTGCTATCTTTCAAAAGTCCTTGATGAATCTCCGGTAGGAACCTGCATGACCCAAAAGAGAACGAACTTCCCGAACACAAGTCGGGTAAGGTAAGCTTTGAATAACATCAATCTTGGCCTTATCTATCCCAATTCCTTTCTGTGACACAATGTGGCCCAAAATAAGACCTTGACTGACCATAAAATGACATTTTTCAAAATTTAAAACCAAATTTGTTTCAATACATCTTTTCAAAATTTTGGTGATGTTTGTCAAAAACTCTTGAAAGGAGTTTCTGTTGGGTTTTGAGCAATCTAACACTTCCTAAGTGTGCATGCAACCCTAATAAACCTTGGATCTATGTTTGTCTAAATACATGCAAAATAATAATTTTCCAACATTTATAACCTATCTAACATGGCATGGGGAACATTTCAACATAAAAGAGTTAGAAGAGATTACATACCTTTTGGTGAGTTGGGTTCTAAGGAGTTTGAGGGCCAAGCACCAATAGTGTGAATGCCTCAAATGGAATCACAAACACCACAAACTCTTGGAAAACTTTGATGAGAGTATACACCTTGTATAAATCGGCCACACACATGCACACACACACTAGTTCACTAGTTTTCTCTTAGGCTCCATTTCATGCTCCATAAGCATGCTTATATAGTGTGCATGGTTAGGGTGAAACCCTAATAACCCATGTCTTTTCCTTTCCAAGGATCCATGGGTTAAAAGCTCCATGGATCATCCATGGACTTCCACATAAGCCTAGCCCATTAACAAATAAGTATTAGCCCACACTATATAAAACAAATAGCCCATAATTTAATTAGTCTTCCTTTTAATCTCTAAATTAATTCATAATTAATTTAAGACTAAAACTAATTAAATAACGTAATTTTATATCAATATATTATAACCCATAATATATTAATAAACATATGTGTATAACTCTCATAAAATTATCCATAATAGTTTGGATGAGATGCAACCCAAATGGACCATGCCGGTCGGGTCAAGTATATACCAAATAAGTTATGGACTTAGACACCTTATCCAACAGACTCCCACTTGGATAAGTCTAATAACTATATTTGCCTATAACTTCAGGAACCAACCAACAATCGTAGCTCTCGAAAACTCCCTCGAACAATGAAGACTCTGTCGAACTATGAAGCGCCATTTTAGATAAGTGATCACATAATCCTCTGTTCTCATGATATCAGCCGGACAAACACATGGAACTATGTCTTGCTTATTGTCTAGCAGTTTGTTTCCCGATTTTTGATTTGTTTGACAAAGAACTTAATCGAACACATCAATTCAGTTCTGACAGGCCGGTACATAGGTCACAACAAAATCATCGAGGGACCCAGATATCGCTTCTATTTCTAGAAGGAACAGATAAACTTCGACTCATATGCTTGTTCTACTACTTGTTGAATTGTACACAAAGGAACATTTTATAACATCAAGTTACTGGTGCGTTTACGTGCAATCAATGCACAACCAACTCATAGGTAACAACTCATATCTCTAGGTTTGAAGATTTATATGATATTACCGTCTCACGATCACTCGAGATAAATTCCATGAAGTGATACAAGTGAGCGTGGGTTTATTCCAATACTCATAACTTATGAGCACTCATGAATGTTGTAGCAACGATTGCCATGACTAAACCCATTTAGCCATCTACAAACCCGATTCATGATAGTCTTGATTCATACCTACTTCCAACATATGAACGACTGTGGAGTGTTTAAATAACTTAGTCATTCGAAAAGAATAACCTAGCTATTTTGGAAGTCAAAACATGCAAAGTGAAACACAATAATAATCGAATCTAATATGGTCTCAGAACCCTTTTGAATATAAATAAAACCACCTTTTATTTATCACCATATTGATTACACATTATTCAATGTTTCAAATAATCAACTTAAGACTTGAATAAAAACAACAGTCGTCCCATGCTCCTAGCATGTACACTTTGTTTTTCTAAACAATAGTTATGCCATACCCCAAGTATGCACACTATGTTTGTCTATGATCCTTACACTGTGATGTAGATCAATTGAACATGATTCCAATGATACTCATTTCACAATCCCAAATCCTTATTGTAAATGTGAGAATCCCCGATTCCTATCATTTACCAAAAATTTGTTAGATTTTAAACTTTTATGCAATGTTCCTCTTGTAATGATTATTCACAAAGTCAGCAAAACCTTGTCACTAGTTGTAACAACAGCAAAATTCAGGTCAAAATTTAAAATTTTATAAAACTGTAATTAAGTATACTAAGTGGTAGATATTGTAACAAGGTTTTCATACATATAAAGAACACTAACATCCGAGTTATAACGAAGAAGTTATGACCATTCTAAGTTTCCCGACAAAAACCGGCAATACGAAGTTGCGTAAAAACGCAAAGTCTCAATAAAACACTTTCTGACCTTAGGTGTCTAAATGAAAGTCATAGATATCGTTAAACTACAAACATGCATAAAAAGAACGCTCAAATCGGACATCATATGAATAAGTTATGAATTTTTAAAGAAATTCCTTAAACACGTCACTTTAATAAATAAATAACAAAAATAATTTCGGAATTTGCCAACGGAATCTAAATGAAAGTTGTAGATCGTAGTCTCTCCTTCACGGGGATATAAAGAACGCCAAAAACGGAGTTCGTATGAGGGAGATATGAATTTTTGAAGTTTGATAATTAATTTATATATAATTTTTATTCAAAATTCGGTATTATCCGAAGAGGAGTCAGCCTAGGGCTATAGTACGCGCCGCGTACCCTAGTACGCCCCGCGTACTGAGAGGCCACGGCCTCGGATCGTCCACGTCGCCCCTATGCGAGCTATCCCTCTCCCGTCCCATCCGAGACGCTGCAGCCGAGGAAGCGGTC